CAGCAACGACATTCTGCAAGCCTCTGTAGATGGTCCAGGTAAGAGTCTACCACCCCTCGGCCCCTGCGTGTGCCGTCTTCAACTAATCTTGACTACCTAGTGCAATGTCCACGACCAAATAATTAAAATATTTCTTTGCAGAATAGAGATACCAAAGCCGGTGGCAGATTATGAGGTGATGGTAGTGTTATCACATTATAGCCCTAACATCTTAGGGGGAGATGATGTTTCAGTTTGGGTGCAAGTTGCACATGAACTACATTTTAAACCCACAACAGGAAGTCTTTGTACCCCGTTTACAGTGTGCAGTTTATATGACGTGAGCAAGCTCCAGGCTTTCAGGACAGAAAATGGAAGCAGACGTAAAAACTCACAACTAACATCTATTTGAAAGTTTTGTGTGGAAGTTCTAGAACAATACAGACCACGTTAACTGTCCATTGAATGGAATTTCAAGGTCTGTCTGACACCTTCTACTGTAATTCAACCATCTAATCATTCCCGTTTGTTAAGCGTAAATGTGATTTCGCACTTTCACCTGGTCAGGTAGCTTTCTTATTATTTAACAGTGAAGTACTTGATAATGATTCCTGCCATTTGGTGGGGATCTCTGGAGAAGTAAAACCGACCCAAGGCCAACTATCACAAAAATGAGGTAAATTATGTTCAAACCAAAACTTCAGATGCCACTCAGCATATGGAAATGTCTTGGTCTAAAATTCATGTAGGATGAAACATCACTAAGGTATGATGGAATGATTAACAGAATCATAGAGAATGAATCCTATTCCCATAAACTACCTCTGCTCCTCTCTACTTGGTGAGGTGGCTTGCAAACAAAAAAAATTTTTAATGACTCTTCCAGTTCAAACCATAGTGTCTCCTTAAATCTGTATTCCCAAGACCCAATGACAGCTGTCGTGATTTATCCCACTTTGTTATTTTTTTCTCTGACGATATAAATAACAATAGCATTTTTATAAATAGGTGAAGTGGGTGGGAAAGGAAGTAAGTAAGCGCAAGAGTCTACCTATATGCCATTGTGAGGTCGCAGACTATAAAGCATCGAACCCAGGCAGGGTAATTGTTTGGCATACTGGAAGGAGGATAATAAAAGCACTTCCACTCCTAAAGAAAATTAAATGTGAAAAAAAAAAAAGAAAAAAGAAAAAAAAAGACCGATGGCAGTTTGAGTGTAGTGTATTTGTTTTTCGTTTTCCTAAATTACCATGCCAAGTTTTGTATTCTTTCTGTTTCCAATTTTGCTTTCGGTGAAGGTTTCTCGGATCTCAGCAATCCCACACATAAACATTTATCGTTATATCCATTAAGACTTAAGGTTTTAGATTTTCAACTATGAGGGAGAACTCAGCCAAAGATGCTTGAAAGATAAATACGTTTAATTAGGGGCAGAGGATGATCATTAAAGGAAGTCTGACTGCTGCAGAAGTCATTAACAATCTTAAATGAAATTTTTATTTTTATGATAGCCATTTACATGTATAATAAGAGCCAATGATTCTTGGGAGCAGTGTGACAGAAACAGAGTGTGGCGAGAACTCATGTAAGACATACTATTTAAATGAGCTGGTGTTAGCTATTCATATTTGTTAATGAACTAGATATGCAGGGCTATAAGAATGAATGTTCTGATGCTTTAAATTTTAATATCTAGAAATCAAGGGTAAGGACCAATTACTAGAATTTCCACCCTTAAAGGAATAATTAATAACGATATAACAAATGTACGGCTCCAAACTTCTAAAAAAAAAAAAAAGTTTCATTTTAAAAAATTAAGATCAATAATTGAAAAACAGCCAAAACAGCAATGTCAAGCTGTGGTAGTTTGTGATCATGGCAGCTTTTTGTGCTGGTCATGGATCATAATTCTAAATGTTTTCATATACAATAATCCATATGAGTGCATTACAGACCCTGTTATCACCTGTAGTTAATGTTGCCTGTGATACAAATGAACAGGCTGTTCTTTGCTCTTACCTTTATGGTAAATAAACTAGCATTCTGGAGTCACAATAATTGAATAAAATGTAAATCCCTAATCTCATTTGGCTATTTGGACCAAGAAAGTTACCCGGCTATTACCTGTCTAGTTCTAATGATTAGTAATGATTTATTGTTCTTTTTTTTTATTGTTCCAAAAGTGCTCTGATGTGGTGCCTTGATGTCTAATGAAAAGAAATTGGTCTTAAAAAGCTACTCATTGTTTATCCTGACTCTTAGATAACACATTTTTCTTCTGATAAAATATTTTTCTTATTTATTGTTCAAAACACACAATATAGACAATAATTCTAATTCTGGTGCTGTTTTATTTAGTAGTGTTTTATCCCTGGTGCCTGGCTGTCTACCATCATACCTCAGCACATAGCTTGACTCTGAGATAAGCCCCCCTCTCCTTTGCTCTTTCTCGCAGGCATTCTGTAGTTTGTCTGCAGGATGCAGGTTTTCAACTGAAGAGCCCAGTGGAGCTCTTACTGTGCCTTTCCGGTTCCAGCACAATCAAAGTTTTGTGTTTAGAATTGTCCTTGACATTCTTTCGTCCCACAATGGGGTGGACACAGTGTGCTGGAAACCATGACATCATTATCATTGACACAGACTTAAATAAATCACCTGCATCTTGGCCTCTTTCTGCTTATTCAAGGATTCTTCATCTTAAGGAAGAAAGTGCTCTTTATTTTTACAAACCCTCATCCCAAGGGTGACTGGAAAATGCAAACTTTTACAAGGGTTTTAAAAACAAATATACTATGTGGTTTTAGACACAGTATGCTGAGTCAGAGGTGTCTTGGAAAATGTTTAAGGTTAGGCAAGAGGCAGAACGACAGCCAGGATTGCCTTTAATTCAGAGGAGATATTCTTAACCTATGGATTATCATGTCCTTCTGAATATGGATTTGCAGGAAACTTAATTAAATAGGCATATACATAGCCTTTCACATACAAACCTGAAAAGGATTAGTGATTCATCTTAATAAATTGAGCCTAAAATGCAAAAAAGGAAAGGTTGGTGCTCAGTAAATTGAAGCAAAGTACATTCTAGGCAAAAGTGACACCATCTCGGTTGCATAATCTTTGGTAAAAGAGGGTTATGGCTAAGGTATTACTACAGAATGCAATGCACACAGAGGACCAACTACACATTATGTATACCCAGCATTTAATAATTTGGGAAGCAACCACCTACTGTAACTTCTCTTTACTTTTTCATAAGAAAATGACAATGAGGAAGGAAGTACAGCAGAAATCTTGAACATTACCACTATTATGCAAAAAAAAAAAAAAAATGCTGTTAACTGTTTTCCCCTCAGTGACTTGATCTCTCAGATGGAAAACTTATGATTCTTCTGACTCTTGGCTACCAGAAATCACATGAGATGAGCGAGGAAGAAAGACACAAAAGCTATATTTATAGCCAGTACTGAACTTCTCAGAAATACCTTAATTTAATTCCTTCCAGAGACTGATAAAAATATCAGATGAGGGAGCCTTTCAACCGATCGATTATTACAATTGACAATACAATATTGCTATATATTGAACTTCTAAATGTTTTATGCAAAATGTCCCTATGAAAATATTCCTTAAATAAGAGAGAAGTCCAGGGCCAGAAGCGAATTTAAAGTGATTGTACGGTTTAAACAAATACCATTCAAATCATCTGACTGTTATGGGTAGTAGCATTAAATTAGCATCTATTTATATCTGTGTATTTTGCCTTAAAAGGCCCAGGCTTTTTTAGTTCTGATAACATAAACAGATAGGCTGTAGGAGACTACTTGTAAATCATATATTTTAATTTTGCTTCTACCATTTGCTAGAACCTGTTTTTCTAACAGATAATTATGACTAGAATGTGATAAGCAAAGAATGGTCAGGATAAATTTGGGAATTTACAGAGTCCTATTTATAAAGTTTCTCTCGTTTTAAGCAAAAGGATGATCAGAGAGATATTTATCCTGGATCATGTTGGTTCTCATTAGTATTGTTATTGTCAAAATACAAATTTTTAAAGTCCGTGTTTAATTTATTTCCTTGAAGCATTTTTAACTGTCAGCTGCGCTCTGCCCTCTCACATGCTCTGTAATTTGGGAGGCAGAAAATTCAAGAGCTCTCCTGTTTTTCAAACTCTCCCTAATTTAAAATATTGCAATTCTGGAAAATAACCTTGTATCACCTATGAATCTTCAAACTCGATGTTACATATTTTCATCTCCACCACCACCTTGAGTTCTTGTTTACATCTATATGTTTTTCTTCAGAAAATGGCTACAGTTATATGCTGGAGCATAAATGATAAGGAAGAAAGAGATTTATGGAGTGGTAGGGAAAGGCCTAAGGAAGGTATGTATTAGAAGTTTATATAAAACAGTGAAACAGGTGTTTTCAAATACCTCTGGGATGCTTGTTTTATAAACTGGGAATTTCAGGTTTGGATATGTAGAATTAGGTTTTAAAAAAATACGCCCGCAGAGATTAGCCCCATCGTAGCTACTCCAAGGGGGAAAAAGCATGAAATTCTCAGTCCGCTAATCATCCAGAGTTACCAGAAGCACATGCGTCTTCCTAAGTACAAATACTTCGTTGCTTTTGACTCGTATTCAAAAAATAATATCTTTCGCCCTGTTTGTCACTAGAACCGCCACCAGAAGAAAAGCCCTCCGTTTGTCCCAAATAAGCACCTCTGTTTTTCACAGCTTGCAGTAATGCTTAAAGTAAATAAGTTCTTGTGCAGCTAGCACTATTGGATTCATTCAGTTGCCTGAACAAAGCTATTGTTCAGAGGTTTACAACAAGCCTTTTCTCTGTTTCCTTTAAAAGAATCTTCCTTGTTCCTGTGGTTGGCATGCTTAGTATAGTAAGCCTTTCTACAGTTTTCAAATGCTAAAGATAATTTTCCCCCACAGAAGAAATGAAGGAAGACTATGACACTATGGGGCCGGAAGCCACGATCCAGACCACAGTTAACAATAGTTCAGGTAAGTTGTGCTTACCGCGCCGAGATCGTACTTGTCCCGTGTCATGTGGACTTAGTGAGTCAGGAGGAGAAACACTGGCCCATCCATCTGTAGCTCCATGACGTAACGATCAAGTCAGACATTACAAGTCTCCTGTTTTTGTCCCAGATCGGAGTCCTCTTTATTTTACTTTACTTTACCTTATTTTATTTTTATCAGCATGTAATATATCTTTCATTCTTAGCCCCCTGATTCGCCTGTGGAGGTTGAGAAAACTGAACTGGATACGTAAATTTTCTCAACGCATGAGTTGGGCAAATTTCTGGTAGTAATTTTTATTTTAAAAGACTGCATAAATAATCTCAAAATTAGAATGTAATAGGCCTCTTCTGGCTACCACTTGATAGCAGTCATTGGGAATTCAAATGATATGCTGTAATTTAGATTGTAAATGTTTTTTCAGGAAGACAAACCAAATTTCCATGAACATTCCTCACAAAAATCGATCATCTGAGTTCCTTTGTATTCTTTCTTCACTTTTAATTCTTGGTACCCTCTGCCTCCTCTAAGTTATGTTGTCCAGGCAAAAGCTTTAGAGAGAATTGACAGTTTCACTTCTTTTCAATGACGCTAAAAAAGTTACAGTAGGAAAGTGGTAGGCAGTGTTTTCTTCTACTCTGCTACTGCTGCAGAATGGATCTCAGGACAGTTGCGACGTTCCAGGCTCCGTCCCCAAAACTGAACGGTGTCTTCCCTCACATTCTCACGTCACCAGTCCAAATGTACATTGACACACTGTGTTTATCTCTCTTTTCCTGGATGAGGCTAATTATTTTTGGTGTTATAAACAATCCTACACATGGCCATTACAAATATTAACCTAGTGACTGGTGTAAGGTTATCTTCCAAAACAAAACAAAAAATCACATAGCTGTATCCACTCAACTCACCAATGAGAACAAAAGTCACAGTTTTATGAAGTTTTAGAAATTTGAATAATTCAGATGATAGTCGTATCTCCCTTGTGTTGATACACATCATCATAAACTGCTCATGCTGTGCTTCTATTTAGAATGTTCTTATTAATAACTTACAAGGCACTAATTCACTTTCTTGGGTGTAAAATAAGAGAAATAATGAACAACTATTGTAATTTTTCTTTCATTTGAGTATGTCAATTTAAGGTACAAAAATGAAACTGTGCAATGTGGGATTAGGGAAAAAGTACAGAATTAGGAAAGATTATCAACCCTGATTTTCAGGTATAGCTCTGGCAGTAACTAGATCATGGCCTTGGGCACGTCACTTACTCTCTTTGGAACGCAGTTTCCCCACCTGAAAAATAAATAGGTCACACTAATTGCTTCTTAAGAATACGTCCAGGTTTAATAGTGTATGTTGCAGGGGTACCATCACTATATAATATAGAAACAAGACAAAATAACCTCATATAAGAAGATAATAATAAAGAGGTAGCATAAATTCAATACTTTCTATAATGTCCCAACTCATGGGATCAAAAATGGCTTCATGTTTTTTTTAAGATAAATATTAAATTTCAGCTTCAAACATAAATAAATCCTAAATTCTTATTAACTTTATAGGCATGTAAAGTGTCACAAAAGTAAATTTATCCTACAAGGTGACAATTTCCTAGCTGTTTTTTACACTTGAAGTCTAAAATGAGATGAATAAAAATTATTCCTGTTCAAAAGATTTAAAAATAATTCTGAATGTGCTTTCAGCTGGCTTTAAGATCTTTTTTTCTGCTACTACTTACTATTGCTTACAGTTCAAGTGTATTCAGTCAATAAGTAAATGAATAAGTATTCATTGAGAATGTTCTATATACACCATTGGTGTACTTGTGGTGGAAGATGGGCCAGGAAGTTTAAGACATGGTTATTATTTAATTTGGACGATGAGACTAACACACGAGAAAAAAAACAAAGAACAGTAAGAAAAATATGTGGTAAATACACAACAAATGGTAGGAACTATAGTTACTTCAAATTACAAAAGTGGGAGAGATCTTACTGGGTGAGTATTCAGGAAAAGCTCCATAACAGAGGTGAAATGTGAACTAAGTATATTTTCAGTGGTCATAAAGAAGTGAGGAAGGGCTTTCTAGCAGAAGAATGTGTGAGCCAACGAAGGAAATTGTGAAATCTATTCAGAGGATAGTGAGTAAAGGATTTGCCTGAGTCAGAGGGTCCTAGGAGGTAATTCATGGGAAATTAAGCTGGACATTTAAGTTGAAGCCAGCTGATGGAGGATGTGAAGCACCAGACCAAAGAGTTTGTGTCATGTTATACTACTGTGATTTCTGTGGAGGAAAACCAGACTTTGAGAGACCAACTGGAAGTCATTGTAGTTACTCAGGTGTGAAGTGATAAAAACTTGTCCTGGGGTGGTGACAGTGGTGAAATCAGCAACGTGATTTCTTAACAATCAGTTTAATCTCTGAGTGATGGAATCAAAATGGCTTTAAGGTTACACATCTGCATGTTTAGAACATGGAAGTCCTTACTATTTCTAGATAAAAAGAAGGAGGATCCAATTTTGGGAAGACCTTGAGCTAGTCTTTAGACAGAAGTATTTTCATATAAAAGTTATATATGGGTGTGAATATGAGAATGTCCACTGGAAATGAGGAATTGAAACACAGGAAGTCAGGGCTGAAGACATAGATTTGAGAGTGATGCAAATATATTCTGATAGTATTTAACATCATGGGACCATGACATTAACCATTGAAAGTGTATTTACTGAAACAAGTAGAAAGCTGAGGCCAGGGCTCCTGGTGGGTGGGGAGAAAAATCAAATTCATTGAAAGAAAAAAGATTAAGATAGAAAAAATTAAACAACCAGAAGGCAAAGAAGTAAAGTTTCAAAAAGTAGGGAATGATCAATTCAATCAAAGATTCAGATGACTACAATTGAAAGAATGCTGAACAAATACATTGGACTTGGTAACTAGGAATTAATTGGTGACCCTCAGTTTATAACTCTGCCCTTTTAGAGAATAAATATGTATTTTTTATAACTGCAAGTTGCTGCTTCTTATCCCCAGAATCTTTTCAGTTGCTACATACGTGGGGAATTGAAATAAGACATCTTTTCTGGTTCAAATTGCTTATTAATGGACCATCTCTTTGTCTCCACCCAAGTCCTAAAAGATCCAGCTACTGGCGGACCTTCTCTAGCCATTCCAACCTACAATGATATCCTCTTCCAATGAATGCTTATTGAACAAAAAGCCTAACCTTGCCATCAATTCTGTAGTGTGTTGTTAATTAATGTGCTATCTTTTCTATATTAGATTGCAAACTCTGAAAGCATGGATTGTTTCTTAGGCTACCATATTGCCTGTAAGAGCACCTCAATTTTGTTTTAACTTTACCCTTCAATCTTATTTTTTAATTTTTAAAAAAATTATTGTAGTTATTTTTTATTGTACAAGGTTATATTAGTTTTAGGTGTACAATATGGTGATTTAACAATTCTATACATTACTCAGGGCTTATCAAAATAAGTACACGCTTAATCCCCATCACCTATTTCACCCATCCCTCCACCCACCTCCTCTCTGGTAATCATCAGTTTGTTCTCAATATTTAGGAGTGCCTTAAAATTAATAGGCTCAATATATTTTTAATGAATAAATATGGAATTGATTTAGTATCAGATACCATTTTTCTTTTCTAATCAAAGCAGAACCAATAGACACTGAAATAGATAAATCCTAAACAGGTTAAGCAGATTTTCTGACAGAATGTATTGTTATTAATGAGAATAAGTTGTGAAGGAAAGACAAAGGCAATGTCTCTAATACTTCTCTCTGAATATTCAACACACAGATTTCATTCCTAACTAAAAGTAAGGAAAAGACCTCTGAATTTCCTTCTCAGCCCTACACATCTATTAAATAGCAAAAATTAATTAAGTTCATCTAGATGGATAGAATAGTCTTTTAGAATCTAAAAGTATCTTCTTCCTAGTATACTCTGCTGAGTTTAAAGCTGCAAGAAGCAATGGGAAGAGTTTAGTCGAATTGAATCACAGAATTCTAAAATTGAAAGTTATACTACAGAACAATTTCTTAATTGTATCTTGATAGTTGAGGAAACAGTAGTAAAAAAATGCCACATAGCTAACTGTTGGCAGATTTGGAAATAAAATCTTAATTACCTGACATAACTTTCACCTCAGAAGGTTTTTCACCACTCTGAGGAGCTGTCCTGCTAGAAACTATGGTATCATCTTTGACTCTTACATACTTTATCTAATTAGTCATCAACTACTATCAATTCTACTATCGCAGATAGCATATATCACTTTTATTTCTCCCCATCATTTTTTTTCCACTATCTTGATTTAAATCCTCATCTTTCATTTGAGCTATTATGATACCTTGTAACCAACTCCATTTCAATCCCTAATTTCTTTAATTCACTCTTCACACTAACAAAGTTAGTTAGAAGTTATTTTTCTAGCACTTGGGGGCAGATGGATGATTGTAATTCATCTCCCACACCACTTCATACTCAACTTCCTGTGCTTCTCCACTGCTTTCCGAATGACTTGGCATTTGAGTTGAGTTGGCATCCTCATGATCTAGCGCCATCTTGCCTTTACTACCACTTCCTAGTATATACCTCAACTCTGAATGACTGATTATCATTTATACTCCTTTGCCTTTGCTTATGATTTTCCATCAACTCAGAAAGCCACTAATTCTTTTTAGTCTGACAGCATCATACACATTCTTAAAAGCCGTCTCCACCAGAAGTCATCTTACAGTCTCCTGCTCAAGATTAGTTACTCATTCCTTTGAGGGTCTTCTTATAGAATATATAAATTTTTTCTCATATTATACTTAGTCACCTGCAGGTATGTTTCTCCCCACTAGATTGCAAGCTACTTGAGGACGGAAATGGTATGGGGATTTGGTCATTTTATCGCTATAGATCGTAGAATGGCCTAAGTCACAAAGAGTTTTTAAAGAAATTGAGGGAGTG